TCCATCCACGTTGCTACAAAGGGCCACATTTCATTCTTTCTCATTGCCAAGTAGTACTCCATTGTGTATATAAACCACAGTTTCTTTATCCATTCATCAGTTGATGGACCTTTAGGCTTTTTCCATAATTTGGCTATTGTTGAACATGCTGCTATAAACATTGTGGTACAAGTGCCCCTATGCATCAGCACTCCTGTATCCCTTGGGTAAATTCCTAGCAGTGCTATTGCTGGGTCATAGGGTAGGTCTATTTTTAATTTTTTGAGGAACCTCCACACTGTTTTCCAGAGCGGCTGTGCCAATTTGCATTCCCACCAACAGTGCAAGAGGGTTCCCGTTTCTCCACATCCTCTCCAGCATCTATAGTCTCCTGATTTGTTCATTTTGGCCACTGTGACTGGCGTGAGGTGATATCTGTCTGTGGCTTTGATTTGTATTTCCCTAATGAGGAGCGACGTTGAGCATCTTTTCATGTGCCTGTTGGCCATCCGGGTGTCTTCTTTAGAGAAGTGTCTATTCATGTTTTCTGCCCATTTCTTCACTGGGTTATTTGTTTTTTGGGTGTGGAGTTTGATGAGCTCTTTATAGATTTTGGATACTAGCCCTTTGTCTGATATGTCATTTGAAAATATCTTTTCCCATTCTGTTGGTTGCCTTTTAGCTTTGTTGGTTGTTTCCTTTGCTGTGCAGAAACTTTTTATCTTCATAAGGTCCCAGTAGTTCATTTTTGCTTTTAATTCCCTTGCCTTTGGGGATGTGTCAAGTAAGAAATTGCTACGGCTGAGGTCAGAGAGGTCTTTTCCTGCTTTCTTAACCTGAGGAGTTTCACTTTGGTGGGGATATGCAAGAAATATGGAAAGAGGAACCCAGCTGTAGAAGATAGGTGTGAGCCCGGATTTCTGTTTGCACATCACAGGTTTGTCAAACACATCGGTTTTTAATTGCCTCGGGAATTAGGTGTTTAAGTTTCACCTGTTTGTTTTCTTTACTCGCATTTAGAAACATCCACTAATTTTACTTCCCTTTGTGATTTTAATATTTACATATTTCTGTGTCAGCTTTGTTTATTACTGGCACATGCATAGGCATGTTTAGTACTATTCTTAATAGCCAAACATTCCATAGTAGATTATGTTAAGGTCAGTGTTTTTGGTGAGACCTACCAACTGTTTTCACTGTTTTATAAATGATTAGTTTGTCATTACCTGATGGTCCAGGGCCATTTCTTCATCATGGATGCTTATTTTCAAAATGATGATCAATTCTATAAATTGGTCACCTCTGTAAAATCAATGTTTTTGCTATTTGTAATGCTCTTTACTTACATCTTCATAATCTTCACTGTATTTATCTTGTTAGAAACCTTTCTGGCTTATTTTAAGTACATATGTTGAGTGTTTGCCAGGCATTTCTGTCTCAATTTCCAGCCCCAAAAGCCAGGATTTTATGAGCATTGTGTAATGTAAGTTAGGGCAGCTGACTTGTTAGTCCTTTTGTCAGCCGGGAATCCAGAGGATGTGTTGGTTTGAAAGGTGTGTTCTCTGTTATTGATTTTAAATTAACCTTCAAAGCTCAGCCCAATTCCTAAACCTCTTGATTCTTCTCTTCCTCTAAGTAAGTCATGTTCTCCTCTGGGCTCACATAACACTAGTGACATTATAGAACTTGTTCTAGCCAGTTAAATCATGTCAAGGTGTTTAAATATCTTTTTCTCAAGACAACCTGAGAGCTTATTGAGAGCAGAGAATTTTTATTTATCAAGCATCTTTTATGTGCTAACTACTATGGAACATGGATATACTTACTCCTTTATCACAGACGAGACCATTGTGGCTCCAATTTATATAGTCAGTTGATGAAGGAATCAGGATGTGAAGCTGGGTCTGCTGTTGCCCCATTGCCTGCTCAGTGGTTGGCATGAACTCTGTGCAGACTCGGGACAGAGATCAGAGTTCACCTGAGGCATGTAGTGCCTCATACAATTATCCACTCCAACCAACAGTGTCCACTTTTTTGGCTGTTCCTTGTTCATTAAGGCCACAAGCTTCATCTCTTAGGGGAGGCTTTCTTCCTCGTCTTATATTAATATGTTTATTCATTGTTCATTATTCATTCCTTTTTTATTTTTTTAAATTTTTTCTAATGTTTATTTATTTTTGAGAGAGACAGAGAGCAAGCAGGGGAGGCACAGAGAAAGAGAGAGACACAGAATCCGAAGCAGGCTCCAGGCTCTGAGCTGTCAGCACTGAGCCCTACATGAGGCTCAAACTCACAAACCATGAGAACATGACCAGAGCTGAAGAAGGACGCTTAACCGACTGAGCCATCTAAGCGCCCCTCATTCATTCCTTTAATACATAATTATTAGGTCACTATATAACTGGTCTTGTTCTATTGCATAAAATAAAATGACAAAAATCCCTGTTTTAATGGATTTTATATTTTCATCAAGGAGACTGACAATAAAAAAATAAACTACATGGGTGACATATGTTACAAGGTGATAAGTGCTAAGGAAAAATGAAAACTAGATCAGTATAAAAAAGTGGGATATATGGTTAGAAGACAGTATTAAATAGGAAATGAGGTTCAAGATTCTAGAGAAATCAAGATTTGAACAAAACCCTGAAGGAAGTATATTCCAGGCAGAGGAAACAGCTAGAGCAAATGCTGTAAGGTATGTCCACTGTGTTGGAGAAGTATCAAGGCTACAAGTGTGTCTAGACTGGAATAAAGGAAGAGTATATTACCTAATGAGGGAATAGAATGGTCCTATAACATAGGCATCTGACCCTGCTTTAACACTGTATATGCAAGAAACACCCAGTGCCTCCGAACTGATAAGTTTGGATTGCTCAGTGGTTTTAGCCCATATTTGTCTTCATCAAGTATTCCTCCAAAAATCATTGGTACCATCTAGGCTTAGAATATTGCTTCAGCCAGGTTCAACCACACTCACTCATATGGATGTCTATCTCTATAGTGTTTTGGTCAATCCTTCCTTTACATTATATTGACCACACTTGATAGAAACTGCTTATACAACTCATAGCAGGTACTCAGGAGATGTTTGTTGAATGAATGGGGACAGGTTCAATCTTCTAACACAGACGGATACCCCCACCAGTAAATAAATTTGTGTTCTGGTTGTAGACATAAGCTACATATTTACTTATGTTGAATTAAATATCAAGTATATGGCTGAGTGTTGATTAAATGCTGATTACTTTTCAATGTATCCATGTTCCATCAAAGTCAGAGAAATCAAGGAAAATTTCCAATTATGTACCCTCAGACACATTTTCTTATTCTAAATAAAAATAGCTTGTTTCACCTTGAGCAGAGTCACCAGTTAAAAAGAAGTATTTAAACCTAATTTCAAGGGAAAAAATATTTCCTTTTTAGCTGATATGTTTATGTCTACAGTATAGTGATTTTATTGCCTTGGTACAATCTTCAGCTTCACATGTCAACTGCATAGTTACTCCCTTTGTTGGACTTAACCTTATTTATGGTGGTAATTTGTTTCCTTAGCTTTTCTGTAACTCAGTCAGCCTGTGGCATTTACTATTATTATAGTGGATGTAAATGCAGTAGATTGATCCTAGCAGGCAGGTATAAAACTTTTATAAATTTATTTTTTAACTAATCTATAATAATATATAAATGCAAAATAACCGTTTTGAAAATATGAGGTAAAATGTATTTTAAATTTCATAGGAAAAGCTAATTGGGAGCATTTTACTTGCTCTTGGTCATCTTTTGCTCAAAAACAAATTCTTTAAATCTGAGGTAAATATATGTATAGATCTATGAGATGTCAAAGCATCAATAAAGAATAATTACCCACTTTAAGTAGGAAATTAGGTAATAATTATTTTAATTGCCCTATCAATTTAAATCCATTTTCCATTTATTTCAACAACTATTATAGTTAATTTAACAAAAAATTATTTCATTTCAAATGTAATTTCAGAGGTGTTACTTTATAATTTACTATGCCATTATTTCTCCATTATCTAATCATTTATGCCATTAAGAACCCTATTCAACATTTATTCAATAAAAGTGTAGTGGAAATGGAGTTTATTTAAGTAGTTTCTTTGTTGTCATATAAAGTGCCAAAAAATTTTATGATTGTTTTATTGTAAAATGGGTATGTTTCTTTTTTAAACAAGTTAGCTAGGTGGATGGTTTGTTAAAAAAAAAAAAAATTCTTAAACCAAGTAAGTTATAGAAATTTCCTATGCCTTTAGTAACAAATCCTTTGATTTATATCTTTATGAGTAATTTGTGTGGTAATTATTATAATTTGAAATGTAATTAATAAATATGCTACGAGTATTGCACTGAATTGTAGTCAATCATATTCTGAAAAGGATTTTTTTTTATTTTTACACTTTAAAAAGTCTGTCAGTCATTCTTTGAAAATGGCTCCATAAAGATTTTTAAAATAACTCTATTTTTATCATTCCATAGTTTAATATAAATAAAAGTTTTGTCAGCTATATTACAGTATACATTTATCTCTCAAAATTGGAAACAGCCATGTTTAAAATGATCTGAAGGGCGCCTGGGTGGCGCAGTCGGTTAAGCGTCCGACTTCAGCCAGGTCACGATCTCGCGGTCTGTGAGTTCGAGCCCCGCGTCGGGCTCTGGGCTGATGGCTCAGAGCCTGGAGCCTGTTTCCGATTCTGTGTCTCCCTCTCTCTCTGCCCCTCCCCCGCTCATGCTCTGTCTCTCTCTGTCCCAAAAATAAATAAACGTTGAAAAAAAAAATTAAAAAAAAATGATCTGATATTCTGTAATTTGTTATAAAAATAATAGAGTCACACTATATGATCTATTTTTGCTTCTTTAGACTTTGTACAGGAATGATTAATTTCTTGTGTGTTACAAGTCTTACTATCAGTTAATAAGTGCCAGGAAGTATGAAAGTATGACAGGGTGGACGCAGAAGAAAATACGAAAGACAAGCATCTCATTTCTTTTTGCCTTACCTTCTCTCTGAAATTATTACATAAATATCTAATGTATCTTCCTTGTGGCTCTTGTCTCAGAATTTGTGGAATTTTCTAATAGCTGTGCTTTTAATCTTGAAATATCAAGAGTATCTAGGTCTCTACCCAGATGATTGGCAATACTTCTGTTCTCTGTGCTAGAGTAACAACAACAACAATGAAGAGCTCATAAACCCAACAGTACAGGACTGTACTTGGGCTTTGCCCAGCTCACCCAGGATTCTTCCACATCCTTTTGCCTGATCCCTATTCTGGCCAGTCACCCATTATGACCTAATTATCTAGGCAACAGCAGTTAGGTGTACAGTCTTGGAATAGAACAAAACTAATGACCACGTGGGCTTGACTAAAAAAGCTTTGCCTCCTTAGCGTTAATCAATAAACTTTCAAATATTTAAAGAACAAAATCAATTGAAGTAGAATCCTTACTATCATTTGTTACTGTTGTAGTAAACTGAGGATTAATTTTTTTAGACTGTTTTAATATGGCTAATTGTATTTTCTTAAAAAAAAAAAAAAACGCTTTTGTTTTTTCTGTTTCTTTCCCATAGGTTTAGGCTTCAGTATTGCAGGAGGTGTGGGGAACCAACACATTCCCGGAGACAACAGCATTTATGTAACTAAAATTATAGATGGGGGAGCTGCACAGAAAGATGGAAGGTTGCAAGTGGGAGATAGACTGCTAATGGTAAGTGTGACTCATGCAAAACTATGTGTGTATTTATAAAGCTCTTGTTTCCCAATGTATGACTGTGTTAGTTCAGGCTGTCATAACAAAATACCATAGACAAGGTGACTTCCACAACAAAAAATTTATTTTACTCAGAGTTCTGGAAGCTGGGAAGTTCAAGGTTAGGTTCTGGCCCATTCAGTTCCTGGTGAGATCTCTCTTCCTGCTTGCAGACAACCATCTTCTTGTTGCATCCTCAGATGGCCTTTCTCTGTGCTTATGCTGAGAGAGAGATCTCTCTTTCTCTTCTTACGAGGCCCCCAGTCCTATCGGGTTAGGACTACACCCTTACCTCATTTAATTAATAACCTTAATTACTGTCTAAAGACTATCTCCAAGTATAGTCATACTGGGGGTTAGAACTTCAACATATGAATTCGGGAGAACGGCCACATTTAATTCATAACAGTGATTGCTGGCAGAAATAGGACAGAAGGGGGAGCAGATTTTGTGGTGGGAGATTTCAATTGTATCTGCTTTATTGACATTTTGAAAACAAATCTGAATTTTCACTAGTTTTTGTAGATACAGCAAGACACAGAGATTATGGTTTTTTTTTTTTTTTCCAATGTAACCCATTAGCCAGAGAGTGTTACATTCAAACTGCTAGAGAGGTGGGCTTTATCTAACAAAGGGGACTCCACTATCTGGTTTATTGTTAGATACATTTCAGTGTCTCCCTGTGGTCCCTTATTCAACAGTGTAGACAGTATAAGCAGTCCCTGATTTCCCACAATTCATTATATGACTTCTGTCTCTCATATGAGGACTTTAAGAGACAAAACAGATGAACATAAGGGAAGGGAAACAAAAATAATATAAAAATAGGGAGGGGGACAAAACAAAAGAAACTCACAAATATGGAGAACACTGAGGGTTGCTGGAGGGGTTGTGGGAGGGGGGATGGGCTAAATGGGTAAGGGGCATTAAGGAATCTACTCCTGAAATCATTGCTTCACTATATACTAATTTGGATGTAAATTTTAAAAAATAAAAAATAAAGTTAAAATATATGACTTCTGTCACATGTGTAAATGGATCCCTTCCTCCTCTCCCCTCAGACAGAATTTTTACAGCTATTTTATTTGCCAGCTGCCTACATGCTTCAGGAGCCTTGAGCAATGACTGACACTAACACATGGCTGCCCTTTCTAAGTCATGGAGTTATATGATAAATAAAAGCAAAATTAAGGCAGCATATAAGCAGTAAAAATTTGGGATTGCACTTAATAAAACTTCTTTATCTCCATTTACTGTTTTATACAAAATCTACAAGATAATCATCAAATACAGAAAATTAATAGAAGAGAGTTCTCAAGTAAGATAAGTATATTCATTTCTAGTCATATGTCTGCCCTTGTAAAACATGGCCTCTAATCACTGCAAGGAGCCGTTATCTCCAACACACATTTGGAAAAGATCAACCTATATTCTTGACAGAACTGCGGTTTCTGTGATGTGCAAGTTTTGGAGGTTGAACCTCACAGTGCATTATGCCCACTTCCCTGGGCTTTAGACAGCTTGTGTTTAGCCCCATTTGTCTAGTTTCGTAGTTGTCAGTGACCTTGGTGTTGAATTTTCTGACTAAGACCTTTATAATAATCTTGATAACTAGTATTTATTTGGCACGTACCATGTCTTTAAAAGTCATTTTTTGTAATATATGTTTATCACAGCAACCTATTCTATTTAAACAAAAAGGAACTGAGGTATGGAGATGTTCCTTAACTTGTCCGTGGTCATATAGTTAACAATGGACAGAACTGGATTTCAAATCCAGGCACTCTGGCTTGTCACCACCAAGCATGGGCTGTGATTTGTTTTCTAGAATTTGTCAGTCAATTCTTTCCTTCCTTTTTTTATCTTTCATTCAGTCATTCATTAATTCCTTTATTTAACAAGTAATATGTTGAATACTTTACCACGTCCCAGGCAATAGCCACTACATAGGAAGGAACATAGGAAGGAGAAAATGTATGGGCAAAGTGGATGGGCAAAAAATGTGGCATTAATGACTTCAAAGTTGCAGCTAGGAGTTTTGGCTTCTTTACCACCTGGTCGCTATCATTTTCTTTTTTTAAACCTTTTTGTTGCTGTTGTTGTATGGCTGACATATAAAAAGCTTTACATACTTACTGTATACAGGTCCATGAATTTGGGTGTTAATTATATACCCAAGAAACCATCATCATTATCAAGGCCATAAATATATTCACCATTTCTCAAAGCTTTTTTTCACTCCTACTATTATTCTTTTGTGCTTGTATGTGGTGAGAACAATTAATGTAAGATCTACCCTCTTGGGAAATTTTAAGTATGGAATACATTATTGTTTAGCAGTAGCCACTATGCTGTACAGTAGAACTACTATTTTTATTCTTGAGACATTCTGCATTTTTTGGTTTGCTGGTTGTTAGATTTTTTTTGTTTTGTTTTATTCTTGTTTTTGTTTTTGCCTTTAATGTAAAAGTTATTTTTTATGATGTTATATCTTCTGAACCAGAAAAGTATTTTCGAGGTATAAGACCTAACAACTTCTCTCAAGAATATGAACTTTATTGTTTATTGACTCATGAATAAAATAAGCCACGATATCCACCTTTTATACAGCACTAACTTTGAGAAATGGAGAGAACAGTTTCATTCTAAATTAATGACTCATTAATGACACATTTGACCTTAGACTCATTATTCTGTAAGAGTTTGGTTGTAGACAACTCTTTCGGTATTTCTTCAGCTGCTGCTATGATAATATCATGCTAGATGCTGTGTGCTGATTTCCTGAAGTTCTGTTTAAATGTCTAGCTTTACTTTAAAATTCTTAAAAAACAAAAAAACCCTCAAAGTCTAAATAATTCTGAGAAAGGATTTTCCAGGCACCATGCTATTTTTCCATTACCATTTTCTTGATATTCACCATACATATAATGATTTCAAAAATAGCTGAGACATAATCTTTAACTATTTTGAGTTTTAAAGCATATTTTTTTTAAAAAATGAACTTTCAACAATAATAGGCCTCTCCTCTCTTATGTAAGGAAAACATAATTAGTACTTCCAAGGCAACTGCAAAACAGAATCTAGAAATGAAAGAAAATGATTCATTTTATAATATTCTGAAAGAAAAATAATGCTGAGGAAAAGAATAAAAAAAATCCCAGAAGTGCTCCCAAAGGACCAATTATCTTGCTTCAACCCAAAAATATTTATTAATGCTCTCCTTCTGTCAATCCTTTCCACCACCTTTTCTCTTATTACCTACATTCGTATCATCTTTACCTTTGTCCTTTTCCACTCTCCTCCCCCAAAGGAAGTACAAATAATTTGGATTCCATGATTTACCATCTGTACCACACTCTGTATATTTTTCTATAAATAGATATTCTTTGTAAAGCAATTTGCACCACTCCCTCCTCTCACTTCTTAGGAAAACTTCCCCTGTATGTTATTCATTCATAGTTCTGTAAGCAAACTGGTCTAAAGTCAAATTCCATGAATTTCCTCATACCATCAATGGTGGGTACTTTTTTCCCCCTTAAGTACTTCATATATGTCAGAATTGAAAAGTGTTTGTCTTAGATGTTATCTTATTCCAACTCATTTGGTACATCAGAAGCTACAAAATGGAGATGCGAAGTAGTCCCTCACCTCTGCTAGAACAGATGAAGAGTTGAGAACTTAATGCTTTTTGGAAGCTATCCATTAAATACCAGCCATCATTAGATTTTCTTTTCTTAAATTTATATCAAAATACATTTCTCTGTGCATTTCTTGTTTTATTCTTAGCTCTGTCCCTTGGAGACAGAAAGGTAAAGACGAATTCCTCTTCTGTATTTGTTTGAAAAGTTAGGTCTTGCCACTTCTCCATCACTCAGTCTTTTAAGATGCTTTAACACAGTTTCTCTCACTTTGCACTAAATTTTACCACATATCCATTTATCTTCAATAAATAGATTACCCTTTTAACAAAACTTTTAATTCCTCAGAATGTTATCACCCCACTTTGAAAACCACAGACAATATTGTAGCATCTGACCTTTGTTTTTTAATTATTTTTTTAATGTTCATTTATTTTTGTGACAGAGACAGAGTGTAAGCGGGGGAGGGGCAGAAAGAGGGAGACACAGAACCAGAGGGAGGCTTCAGGCTCTGAGCTATCAGCCCAGAGCTTGACATGGGGTTTGAACCCAGGAATCACAAGATCATGACCTGAGCCAAAGTTGATCTCCTGAGCCACCCAGGTGTCCCTGTCACGTCTGACCTTTACATTTATTCTACTATAAAGAAAAAATTACCCTGCTTATCACCTTTGCAATAAGACTTTTAGTGTTTCAAGTAAGATGACTTTTTATTTTTTGAGTGCAAGTGAGGGAGAGGCAGAGAGAAGAGAGGGAGAAAGAGAAGTGGAGCTCACCCAAAGTGGGCCTCGAGCTCATCTGAAGGGGAGCCCAAACTCACAAACTGTGAGATCATGACCTGAGCCAAAGCCACATGCTTAACTGACTGAGCCACTCAAGCACCCAAGTACCCAAATAAAATGACTTTTTTTAATGTCAGGCCTCTGATGTTTCATGGGACACCCGGAATGGTGTATGTTCCCTTTATCAAAATAATATATTTTTTTTAAATTCCCTTGCTGCTTAACCCTTATTATCATTCACTAGATTTTGTTTTTTATTTTGTTAAATGACAATGACATCTGATTTTTACTGATTGTACCTGTAGTTTAGTGTTGTAATTGTAGACTAAATAGATTAGCTGTTGGCCTTTATTTCTTGGAATGGATGGTCAGAGATTAACAGTATTGATAATTTTTAAATTCATTCACATATTTATGCACACTGGTTTTTATTAAGCTCTATCAATATGATGCATAGGGCCACATTTATTACAGAAATGTGATCATCTTCATTGTTTTTCTACACGATACCAGAAACTTCGAATCCAGGGTCATCTGA